AGAAATCCGTTTTCAAAGCGAAGTGCCCATGGTGGATCACCACCATTCAATTGTTTTACAATGTTTATGGCCATCGCATGATGTTTGGAGGCATAAGGCCACAAAGAAAGAGGCATGTTGGCCTGGAGGAGGTTGGAGCGCGCCCCTTCCAAAATGGTGCGGACTTCACGCTCAACAACCGCTTTGGTGGAATGTTGATATTCAACAGAAGTCTGGTGCTTGAAACCAAGTTCTTCTATGGCATCCAGCATTTCTGGAGCGTTGTCGGTATACACTATGCCAACAATATCAGAAGTCTTCAGAAAATGTTTAAAAGCTTTCACAATGGAATCGGCTGTTTTGTTTTCTGAAGGATAAACACATCTGTATTGAGTATAAACATCTTTGATCACCAACATTGACGTTTGGCCTTCTATCCCTTCTTCAATATCCTTGGGAATAACATGGTCGCACACTATGTGGTCGCCAAACCCACGCGCCAAAACATGTTGTGATCCGCCTACGCTTCTACCGTAGGGAGCAAGCATTTTAGCTTCGCTACAAACATCGCAGTAGGGATTCTTTGGTCGATGTGTGAATTGATGCGCCCCTGATTTTGCTTCCTTTCGAAGTTGCTCTTCGGTCTTCTCCCCTGCTACGGGAACGTCTTCAAAATCAAAAGGAACCTCAACTTCTGGGTCACTGTCCTCTTCGTCCTCCTGTCCATCATCGGCATTGGCATCTACGCCAGCTTCGTCAGCCTCCTCTTGGTCTTCCTCGGGTTCGGACTCATGGCTGGCCATGGCGTAGCCCTGGTCGATGGTGAACTGGTGGATGGAATCGAGTACCTTAGTAAGGCGAGTCCTCAGTGATTCAGGAATTGAGAATGGGGTACATGTTTCATCAATATATGGAACCCTACCTTGCAATTTGAATTTAACGCATTGTCCATCAGGTCGAAGAAATATGGGAGTAGTATCCTTTCCCCAAACAAAATCATATCCCTGTTCTAAGCACCTCAAACCAATTGAAAGTGCAGAGGGAGTACTTTGGAGAATGTAGGGGTTGAAGGATTCACATAACCCTGGCAAGATCACCTCTACTACTTCGTCAGCAGTGATAGGTCCATTGGCAGTAGTAAGGGAGATTGGTTCGTTGGATTTGAATATCTTGGTGGCCCTGTTGACTGTCTTAGAGTCCTTACCTACGATGTCCTGGTCAGTGCCAGTGTCACCCAGCCACTTCTCCATACCAACCATGTTTGGCATCGCTGTTAAGCGAGCACATGACGGCACCTGTTCTCCGACGACTGTTCTGCACTTCGTGCAGCACAAATCATCGGGGCCTTCTGGGGAATGTTCACAAAGGAAATCACACGCAGGCTCCTCGGTATCCATCGAAACGAGCATCTGCCTAAGTGACTCCGCTGCCAAAATGGCGTCCTTAGTGTCACACTCGCGGGACTTTGGGCATTCCTCAGTGGTCCGGAACAGGTTCCGCTTCTTGCTCTTATTCACTACATGCCGGTACATTTCCTTCCAAACAGGAAAGGTGTGTACCTCCGGTTCTAATTCAAAACGAATTCTCTTCTCTTGCACAACACGGAAAATTGACTTTCCAGTCCAATCAAATTTCTGTTTCGCGTTTGGGTGTTTCTTCCAATTACCCTTGATTGTCCTACTCTTTCCCTTTGAGTCAGTGACTACCATGGTAAACTGGTCTTCCAACCTAGATGACTCAACTGGACAGGATTTACGTGTTGGGAGAAACGACCTGTGCCTAGGCTTCAAATGGTGCCTAATCAACTCATTACCATCTTTGGAGAATTCCCAGTAGTCTTTACTCTTTTGGGTCCGAGTTGCGGTTGCTGCTAAGCAAGACATTGCGAAACCTGTTTGAATACATGGACTGGCCTTTGGACTTTTGTCCTTCTTTTCCCGTTTGCTCTTTTTGTCCTTTTTGTCCTTCTTGGATTTCTTGTCCTTAGACCTTTTAGCTGCGGGCGAGAGACTCCTTCTGCGCGGGGCTGGTGTTGCAGTGTCTCCGTGTTTAAACGGGCATTTGTCACCCCTTTTGCAGTTACCCTTTGCAAAGAACCTGCATGGCTTGTCAGATTTCCTCCCTCTACTGGAGCTTCTTGATGAGTTCCTTGAACTGGAGCGGGAAGTGTGTCTTGACGAACTTCGAGATCGGCTTGACCTGAACGATGAACGGCTGCTCGGACTTGCGCTACGCGAACGAGACGACTCCCGACTAAGGGAGCGGGGACGGGCGCTAGAGTCGTGTGAGTACTTGCATTTGCTCCCGTACTTACACTTACCAGTTTTGGCATACTCATAGCATTGATTGCTTCCGTCACCCTTTGTGCTTCGTTTGCCATAACTTGGGCTTCGCGTGCGCTTGTCGTGCGGTGCCGGGTTTGCGAACTTTGCCGCGTGTGATTGTGATATCTTTTCGCGATTGGTCCTGAGCCTTTCCCTGTCAAGGTAACGTCGAACAGAATTGATAAGAAATTCATAGCTTCTGTCGTTACTTCCCTCCGGCGCTCGTTCATAAACATCAAGGTCAAATCTGAGCTTGCGGGACTTCCTAACCTCTCTATAAAACAAATCCTTGAGAGTTGCCGGGTCTGGGACATGACTCATTCCGGTCAGAACACTCTCCCATTTTCTTAGAAAGGATTTCAAGTCGTCGCTATCAAGCGAGATCTTGAGGAGGTCCTCAGTGCCATACAGTGCACCCGCTTCTTCACTGGTCTTGAAGTGGACTTCAAACATGAGCAACACCTGACGACCACGGACGATCCTACCTTGCTGTGCCTCAGATTCCTTATAATTAAGGATCTGCTGAGACAGTTCACCTTTGGCAACCTTAGTTAAAGCAGCAAGTAGTTTCGTGTCTAAGGTCCGAAACTTGCCTGGGTCAGCCAATTCGGAACAAAGCTTGGCTTTGTCTTCACGAACAGCGTACACCCCAAGCACCCATGCGAACGCAGCGTCTGGGTCATCGGACGCGGACCGTATCGCTTCGCGAACAGCGGCCCTCCAAGTGCGGTACCTATCAGGACTTGGGAATTCGGGAAGATCTATCTTATCAGCCTCCTTTGCCTTGGGTTTGTCAGAGTCTTTGCTCTTAGCGCCCTTAAACCCTTCTAGCAAGGCCTTCTTGATGATTTCCCCCAAATCTTGGTCTTGTGGAGTTCTTACCTGAGAAGCCGGCCCTTCGTCCTTGCGATCATCCTTAGTCTTTGTTGCTTCCTGATTAAAGGAGCTTTTGTACAAAGGATCATCACTGAAGTTATATTGCGCTGACTTCTTCATGTACTCCGTCCACGGATCCGGTTGTTTGAATTGTGGCCGTTGCCTGTTCCGCTGCGGGCGCCCCTGTCCCTGAGAACATTGATGGGAATCCAGTGTTGCGCGTGGACGCTGTTGCATCCATAGCCGTCTTTATAGGGGATCCGCCTTCCTCACGGGGCTTACCGTCTAAGGTTGCTGGAACAGTGCCTTCCGTGCGTAGAGGTTCAAAAGATCGCGGTTGACCAATTGGGTGAGCGTCTTGTCGAGCAGAAGGTGTAAGTGGCTCAGGATATTGCGGCCCTGGCTTAACGGGGCTAGAGGATTGCGCCTTGCGCTCCGCTTCCTTGCGTTCCTCTTCCCTGTCTGTCAAGGACTGTACAACACGTCTGAGCTCGTCCATTTCACCCTTCAACATTGCATTGTCCTTGCGAAGCTCAACTATAGTTTGCTCTTGCGTTTCCCGATCAACCTTATATTGCTTATTTGTTGTCTCCATCTCATTGACAAGAGTTTTGATCTTTGCCTGTGCAATTGCTAACGAACTGTCCAGTTGTTCTCGCTTGAAGTCAAGCTCTATGGCGATCCGGGATTCTTCAGCAGACGAATGTCTTGCCTGATCCTTTGCCTCTAGAGCTGCCTTCAGCTTAGCCTCCTGTTGCTCAACATACTGGTGATGTTCAGTTCTCATTTTGTCAACAAAAGCATTGCCTTCTTCCGCCATGGCATTCTTTTCCTGTACAACTTTCTCATGAGCTGCTGTCGCCTGAGCTAGCCGCTGCTGAAAATGTTCCCTTTGCTCCTCCAATGTACCTTGCAACCGTTTGATTGCAACATTGTCTTGCTGTTGGACCATTTGCTGAACACTTTGTTCCTGCTGTTGGGCCCTTTGTTGAACATTCAACATTGCCTGCTCTGCGGCAGCCTTTGTTGCCGCTATAGATTCGGAAGCTTCTCTTTCGTAAATACTCCTGAAGCGCAATGCCTCGATTTCAGCTTCCCTCCTGGCTTGTTCGCTGAGCAAAAACTCATGTTGTTGTAACTCCCGTCGTAGTTCTTCGTCGTTTGGCGTTGCATTCAGGTTGACGACGTTGAGCCGAGTCATTGCCAACAAGTTGTTTACTGTTGGCGCACCAGCTACGGTGGCTGACGGCATACCTGCTAGGGTAGCTTGTGTCGCCTCTTGAAGAGTAACACTACCACCACTATTTAGCATCTCTTGGTACACCTCCGAAGCAACCCTTGGATCCATTGCAGCCACTTGTGCAACCGCTTGTTCATGCCGTTGAACTGCATCCAAACTATTGGGCACACTCGGAACTATGTCAAAGCCACTTCCGTAGGAGTTTGGTGGGACGTCGTCATCCATCGGGTCCATAGCTCTAATCTAGCTAGCCTACGGCTGATAACCTGTATTTTACAGGATCAGCTCTAATAGTACTAACTACCTAGCTAACCCTGCTAGTCCGGTAAGCGCTACCTTTTGCTCTACCTTGAGAGTCAACGCTACGGGGTCCATGGGGATGAGGTGAATTTCAACACCATCAAATCTTGTTGTGATTCCATGCCAACCAAGATTAAAGCTGTAAAGCTGCAAAAGAAGAATCGCGAAGTGAACTACATCAGAGAACGGAAAGCAATTGCGCATAAGCTGAAAGTTTTGCAACTGTTGGCAAACAACGGTTCTAACAAGAAAAGCAAAGGAAACATCATGGAAAGCCACGCCTGTTGAAGTAGGAGCAGCAGTGGTAGTAAGAAGTGTGGACGTGGTTGTCGTTGTTGCAACTTGAATTGCATCAATGGCGATATCACTTCTCCAATCAACACCTGACACACCTTCGAATCGCAACAGGCCAAAACCTGGAGGGACCACCAGGAAGACATTTTGCCACACGTCGGCCGAAGGACCTTGGATTTGACATGTCTAGAAGAAAGACAAAGGCAGCAAGTGGGATTGTTTGAAACACAATAGCATCACAGGCAGCACGCCTTGCCTGGAGCAATTCTAACCAGCATTCTAAAGTTTGCATGCATCTAAGACACCATGGGCGCTCCAAAGATCGTCCCAATCGCCTGTGGCATTCATTCCTTTCAGGTATAAGTGTCCCATTCCAAGGCCGTGCATGTGATACGCGAAAGAAACGTCAAAGGTCGAGCTGTAGCCGTCAAAAGGTGGGCTTTCCAAAGTAAATACGTCCCCAGGCAAGGTTGGCTCCTTGATGCACCAAACTTTGTTATTAAGTTGACTGAGAAATGAAACACTGGTCACTTCGTTGAAATACACCTAGAAAGCTTGTTTATCGATAAGCTTCACTTGCTTCCACGTAGGCGTACCTGGATCCATAGTATGCACTGCTGGGCCCGGTGCCCAAGCTGGGTGTAGAATTTGCGTGGAGCAACCAGGCCTTGTCGGAGACGCCGCTTGTTGTCGACCAACCACAATTTCCCGTCTCAAAGTCACATCCATTTGGCGCCGTCAGGTTATTACCGCATCCACAGGTATGGGCACACTGCGATTGTCCAAACTGCCCCTGACCTCAGAAGAATGCAGTTACACAGATTGTGTTGCGAAAATATCACGAACTTGGATGTGATCATCAAGCCAAGAATACATGCAAGAAGCTTGAACCATTGCTACACTTTGGATGTAATCTTAAAATACAACTTTGGGGCTTTGGAAACATGAGTGTATAACAAAGGAAAGTAATCCCAGAAATGCAGGATGGCACAAATCTTGGCCCCAAGAGTAGTACGAGCTCAAGTGGTTTAGAAAAAGGGCTGAAAGGCTATACAATTCCCCGACCTATACCAAACTCCACAGGTGATTTCTTGGGGCGTTTAAGGTTATGGCATCAATCTTCACGCCTACGCTAATTACACCTTCACTTCTTCCAAACCCCAACGCCCAGGCCTAGGCCTAGCTGTGCTGAGCAGATTTTGTAGACATCAGAATGGACTGGCCAAATAGCCAGGGATCCATCAGAATGTGTCACTCACAACTGAAATATTGTAATATATACTCATTTACAAAAAGATGGCGCAAGTAAAAGTGCTCCATATGCTACTTTTTCCTGCGGAGCGGCATATGAAAGGGCTTCTGACCGTATAGATGGCACATTGTGAGGAGCCATCATATACACTCAGATGTGTTTTTTGTGTGTGCCATCATATATGCATTGAATTTGCGATATGAATCATGATGTATCTCGGCATGACACACCGAGCCCATTGATGGCATGTGGTAGACATAGCAGGTTCAAATGAAAGAGGAATCAGAGGATATATAAGAGGGGTGGGACAGGTGGGAGAGCTGGGATGATTGGAGCCGCTAAGATGGTGATAAAACGGGAGACTGTGAAGGGGTAGTGATAAGAGAGACAAGGAAAGAGGAAGAGAAAAGAAGGAGAGGGAAAGGATATTTCAGAGTTGGGGTGGGGCAGGTGGGAGAGCTGGGATGATTGGAGCCACTAAGATG